GTCTTCATAATCCAAGTATGACCCCATACTCACACCCATATGGTCAACACTACTGGGACACAGTAGATTTTTTTTTTTTAATTATTGAATGTGAACATGAGGTTGGGAAGGAGCTATGGTAGAACAGCGTTGGGAAGAGCTAGAGGGGAGACTGGGGGGTGGACATGATCAAGATACACAGTACATGCATATGAAACCTTCAAAAAACCAATAAAAATACAAATATTGGGGTTTTTATTGGTCTGTCTGTATCTTGCTGTTGTTTTTACTTTCAATCATTATGGGTGAGGGTGGCCACAGTTTTGCTGATGACGCTATACTTCTAAAGCTTCTACATGTCCCCGGACAACCACAACAGCTGGGAGCCAAGTGTTCAGACAAGTGAACCTACGGAGACGGCTCGCAGGCACACCACAACAGAAATGTTGCAGGTTTTAGACCATCATTTATTATCTTTAGAAGCCTTTTTCCTGAATGGTGAAGCTGGGACCACGGTTGTTCACAGAACATGGTTTGATGTGCTAAATCCTGCATGATATGACTTCCTGCTGTGGCCTGGAACCAGGCAATCATCAGAGAGGTTAGCTGAGGAAAGGAGAGAGTGGAAGCGCCCACATTGCAATGCTTGCCTTCACCCCCGTGTCTTTCCTCCTCCTCTCCATACAGCAGATGGAATTAGATGGGGTTCTGGTGTGTGAGAGTAAAACTCACAGCCCTGGCTCTACCAGCCTCACAATCAGGGTGATGTCACTTAAACCCTAAACTTCAATTTTCTCACTGTAAATTGAAGATTGAAACATGCTTTTGAAATATGGGGAGACAGACAAGAAATACTGTCTGTCAGATGTGATAATTAGTGAGTTTCAGGTGTTGTTTTCCAGGGGAGGTGGGATACGACAGGACTGGGGAGGTCAAATTCACCAGCGGACACTGGTGTCACCCTGGCGTACTCAGAGCACTCACACTATCTAGACACAGCAAGGGGATGGAGTTGTGTTTCTCTGGAGTCGGTTTGAAGTGGAGGCTGGTTGAGAGAAGGTGTCTGTGGACCTGAAAACACAACTCTGCTGTGAGGGAGAGTTGGTCGTCTTCCATGGGGGCAGACCAGCATGCCTCAGTCCAAATGAATAACCTGAGAGCCAGATACAGAGGACTTGGAACAGTCCTCGGGATATAGAGAAGTGGATACCATGATCTCATGGTCATGGCTGTGCCTTTACGCATTAGTTCTCCCCTCTCTTGGTAGAATACAGAAGAAAGAGCAAAGGAGCTGCTCTGGATGCTGTGCCCCCATGGGCTGAGGTAGCTGCACGTCTAGATGGCATGGTGGGAGGAAGCACAATCCACTGAACTCAACATCCTCACTGTTAAGCAAAGCCGAAAGCTCTCCAGTCTGCTCTGGAGTCTGAGCATCTGGGACAACCCACTGAGGGACAGACAATTGGAAACTCATTTTTGGCTTGTTTGGATCTTGCTTTAGAACCACCTGCCATTGTCTACTTCCTAAGGGATGGATCATTGTGCATCCAGGTGTAATGAGGATAATATGTCCCACAATGCACCAGGTGGGTCCAAAGATATCACAAACTCTCAGCAGGTCCCCGGTGACCCAAAAGTGCAGTGCTGCTTCTTTGTCTAGAAATAACAGGATTATTGGCGAGGTGCCATGACAAAGAACATTTCACCCCAGGTAAATGATCTAGGCATTTCCCTCTGCCAAATCTGTGGGGTTTGAAAGGTGACCTGAAGGAAGTCCAATGCCTATTCATAAAGAATGGAAGGGTGACACATTAAGGACTAACATCCCTTTGGATGGGGTCTGTCAACTAATGCTGTTTGCTGGAGGGTCATCAGCACTGGCTGGAGAGGCTACATGGGAATACATACAATCTGGGCCCGGCAGGTGCATTCCAAGAGACAAGTAACTCCTGCGCTCACCCACCTGAGGGGATAAGCTTATCCACATCACTCCCCTACATAACACCATCAGTGTTCTTTATTAGAAAGTGGCATGTTTGCTGTGGAATCCCCGTCTCAAGTCTGTGCTTCCTCCCTGCTCTGGTTTCTTCTATAATTTTTGACATCACTCTGATTTTCAAATTCTCTTCTCAGCCTCCAGAATAAACATGTTGACCTGCATTTACTGACTTTATAGAACACTGAAGTCAGATCTGAGCTTCAGGAAGTACTGTGAATCTCTGTGTCTAGCTCCATCCTCATGGCTGAGAAGCCTTAATGCTGTCAGTGAGAGTCCCCAGGGCTCTGCTTAGCCCCCAGTGCTGGGCATTCGCTGACAAGACTCCCAAACCCTCAAATCTTCACCTGCCCACGCAGGCTCTTCTCTCTAGGGAAGTGTAGGCAAAATACAACCCTTCCGTCTCTTGTTGTCAGTAAAGCTTTATGGTGACACATCCATACTCATTTTTAAATTGACTATTACTACCTTCTTTCTGTCTGTCAGAGAGACTGGTGGACAAAGCAACTTAAGAAATTTATTGTCTGACAGCTAGTTGAGGATCTATTGGCACTCAGTGGTTTTTGAAGGAGGGAGAGTCAGTTTTCTGCAGGAATGCAGTGCCTAGGAGGGTTCCCATGCTACACTCATGCACCCTGATAGAAATGGCATTCACACTGGAATGCGCACATTCCCAGGGAGCTTATACACTAAACGCTGAGGTGTAGAAGAAAACATCATAAATTACATCGAACTTGATATCATCCTTTAGGAATCAGTGCTTTTGCTTGCAAAAACATATATATTAATTTAATATTAATTATGGCATGGCATGTAATTAGTGTTAGAGAATTTCAGAAATTTCTTCAATTATATTACTATACAACATATAGTCATAGTTGCTCATAATCAAATAATTATATTATGACTAATTATAACATATTACATAACTATATAGAATTCATTGAAATGTATTAATGTTTTAGATATTAATAGCTACAGTAAGTGCTAAAGTTATAGAACACTTATTATATGCTACTGTTTAAAATGATTCACAGAGACCGGAGACATCGCTCAGTGGGTGAAAGAACTGCCTGCTCCTGCAGAAGGTCTAGGATGAGTCTCAAGCACCTACATGATTGCTCACAACCATTTATAATTCCAGTTCTGGGTTATGCGATGCCCTCTTCTGACCTCTGTGGGTACCACCCTTGCGCATGGTATACATATATACAAGCCGGCAAAACACTCATGCAAATAATGTAAATAATTCTAAAAATGACTCATAGGTAATAACTAGTCTAAAGTCACTGTACGTGTTAAAGATTATTTCCGCTCTTGTCTTATAGATGCAGAAACTAAAGCACCTGGGTTATAGAACTACCAAGGTCTGTAACAAACATGGGGCAGCTCTGAGCTCCAAACCCAGAGAGTCTCACTCCTGACTCCACACTGAAAAAGAGTTCCTTCAAATTCAGACAGCTATGTTTTCAATAAACATGCATACATGGATGAAGGTCATAGACACAAACATTTTTTTGCAGTGTGAGTATGCTGTTAGGTGTCTGCCAAGTGTCTGGGGCTACTCCCCAATGCATCTGACAGAAACTTGCAGACAGCTATTAAATCTCGAGCGACGCTAGTATGGGTCTGCTAGCACCCACAGAACCACCTGACCTTTGTGGGTTTTAATCATTCAGTTTCATCAGACCTTAACTAGGCAAACCATGAGCTTAACCTTGTTTATGAGTGTTTGTTAGCTCCTGGTCCATGATACCGGAGCCACTTGCCTTTCCCCAATCTTCTTATAGTGTATGGTTTTGAGATGGCATACCCGTGATCTGGGCCTCACACACTTCAGGTCTAATGCAAGCAAGGAAGAATTCACCCATAGAAACATTTGAGAGCTGCCTTCAGATTGCTGAGTGGGTGAGAGAGGGAACATTTCCACATCCTCATTGTGTTTCTCCATTCTCCCTGGGCTCTCATTTTCAAAGCTGATGCTGTGTGGGCAGGAGGATTGGGGTTGGCTTGCAAAAGGAACAAAAATGATGTTTGAAATTAGCCTCAATTCACACCAGCAACTAAACATTGAAACAGTCAGCTGAAGACTCCTCAAGGGTTTAGTTGTCTGTGGTACATGGGCTTTGGCCTCATGCCTTCCCATGCAATGCAGGTGAGAATCACTTCAATGGGCCAGGCTGGCCATCTAAACATAGCTGTTTGAATTTGAAAGAACTTTTTTCTGATTGAGAAAAAGACAAGGTTTCACTTCCGCAGAGATGCCTCTAGTGTCTTCCTTCCGCTATTAACTGTGTGTTTATTGAATGAGGACCTGTATCCCTGTTGAACTGAGTTTGAAGCATGGGGCTGAGACAGAATATTCACTTCAGTATTTAATTACAGTCTACTCTCTTCCAACTGAGAGGCAAATAGCAATAGCAATACCTCAGCTTGGTGTCTATGCTGGTGAAGAAGGCAGGTGGACAGTGAGCAACAGGTGCCGGGAACAGATCTTCATACTGTGCCATCTCTCTTATTGCCATATCTCAGTATGTTAATGATGGTAAGAACTCTCTGCTGCTGTATTAGCTATCGACTGATGCTGTGATAACACACCATGATAAGGCCACTCAGAGAGGAACCAGCACAGAGACCATCATAGCAGGGAGACCTGGCAGCAAGTACATGAGGAAGACAGAACTGAGAGCTCCCGTCTTCAACAACAAGCACCCAGTGGAGAGCAACCTGCATGAGGGGTGAGACAATACATACCATAGCCTGCCCCCAAGGACATACTTGCTCCAGCAAGGTTATACTTTCTAAATTTTCAAACAATGTCACTAACTTGGGACCAAATGTTCAAATATCTGAGCCTATGGAGGACATTCTCATTCCACCCCAAGTATTAATTTGCTCAAATTTCTTTTTTTTTTCAAATACTGGTCTGTTGTTTAATTTGGTCACTAGAGATTAACCCAAAGCCTCAAATGTGTCTGATTTTCATGTTGGGGACAAACCCAAGGCCTTGTGCGTAGGGAAGTCACTACCACTGAGCTACTTCCTCAGCCCCAGCTGGGGTTTTGAAGGCCACCAGGTCTGTATCATAGTACTGCCTGTGTGACTTCCAGCAATGCCTCCAGAGACACACAGACAGCACCAGGGTGCAAACTAGTAACAGTCCACTCGAGGCACACAGTCCCCAGAAGATGACCACAGAGCTGGGCTTGGTTGTGAAGGTGGCACATGACCTCTTCCAGCCTGAGGTCCGCTGCTGGCTCAGACCAGTCCTGTTGGCTGCCTGTATGCACACATGGTAGGTGGTACTTGGTGACAGCTTGTACAGGGGGGGTGCTGTCGGGCTGTAGCATAGATGTCCACTACTGACTGGTTCCCAGATTTTCCTGCTGTCAGGTAGTTGATCTGGTATGAGTGCACCACTGAGTTGGGGGCACACCAATGGATGAGCATTGATGTGTCTGTCATTTCTGAAACCCCCTGCAGCTTGGGAGGCTCTGGGATGGTATCTTCCCCACTGAGACCAGGGCGGTGGCATCTGAAGTGTCTCTGTAACTCTGCACGTGGGGTCTGCAGACGCTTGCAGGGGTGGTAATCGCAAGAGACATCCTGGTGAGGTGCTACCACCTGACCGTGAGTCTCATCCTCCTCGCTCTCATCATCTAACAGCATGACCGGAATCTCATCCTGTGGAGGCTGTACGAGGAGAGCTTTGGTGGTGGCTTGTGTCCTCCGGTTGGTTTAGACATGCTTCTGGGGTCTGGTGAAGTAGGCAAGGGTCTGAGGTGTTTGCCAAGCAGTGTGGTGGGGGCAGGGGAGATACTGGGCTCGAGGATATGTGTGACCATCTGCTCTGCCCCTGTGCTGGCAGCACCAGGCAGAGTCTTGGAGGGATGGTAAATTGTCACTGAGTCAGAAGTGGACCGAGCAGTTTCCTCTGAAGTACCGCTATGCATCCATGACCCATGTGTCAGAGAAGCCGTGGTGTGGGAGGGGACCCTGGTGATATTTTGTTGGCCTCCTCCAGACTGAGCAGATGGGGTTGTGCTCTGCCCAATGGAAGGCCCCTGTGTCCGTGGTGCAGAAACTGGATGATCAAAGTGGGGCGGGTTTGAAGCCAGGAGGGTGGTCCTTTGGTCTGG